TCCTCTGATGCTGCCTGGCCTGCTGTGTTCCTCCAGCTCCACACTGTGTTATCCTTGATGGTGAGGGCAGTCACTTTTGCTTCACCTGTGGAGTTCAAGCTTTGTGTGCATGCTTGGAACAAAGCCAATTTGCTGTATATATCTGAGTGGTTCTGATGGAACCTGAACTGAACATTAGTCAGCGGGCTATGCGTATGTAAGTGCTACTGGACAGCTCATTGATGATTAATTGCATCAATTTGCTAATAATTTGAGCAACACTGATAAGATAAGTAACCGGACTGGATTTGCCTTCATTTTGCATACGTAAGTATCTGGGCAATTTTCCATATTGTCTGGTATATTCCTAGTGTTGTATCTATAATTAGAACAACTTAAACAGTAAAAACAGAAGAGTGGGTTCTTGCATGCCTGTCCTGTCCCAAGCCAGGTTCCTTGATTAAGCACAGAGTTGCTGTGAATGTAGAATCCAGTTTCTCAGCAGGCTACTGGGAAATCCAGTGGTTGGCTTGGTCTCCCCATATAGTTCAGTACCAGCTAAGTTGCCCTTAATTGGCTAATTTAATACAGTTGACCTCTGGACAGAAAGGCTGCCCTCCACCCTTCACATGCTGCGCTTCTAAGCTTGAATTTGGGAGTTGTAGTTGGGAAGGCATTGAGGTTTCCAACCCTATTCATCCACCTGATCAAGTACTCCACCACTTTCTTTGAGCAATAAATGCTGGTCTAGCCAGCAATGCCTACATCCATGAATGGGTTTTTAAAAATTCCATACTGACAGGCCAACTAAGGTAAACACCCTTCCGTAAGGAGGAGTGAGTAACTAGTTGGGTTCTGTATGGTTCTACTACAGTACACGGCAGACTCCTTAACGTCAAAATCCTCAGCCACTTTAGGCAATGTAAATGGTTTCTCCACAATCGGCCCCATTACTGACATTGGATCGCGAGTACTGTTTAAATTATTTGTTGTTTTTGCCATTAAATACTTTCCAAATCTTGAAAGGTGATAATTGTTTAGTTTAAAGTATGAGAAGCTCTTATTCTGTACCATAGTAGCTTTCCTCTTGCCTTGTGAAAAGTGTAAATTACAGATTGTGAGCACAGAAATTTAAGACACACTGTGTTGATACTTTTCATCTTACACTCATTAGGGTAATTTGCAAGAACACCAATTTAAGGAGAAATTCAGTATTTATACTACATGAGAGGAGAGTGCTGATTAGTCGACAAATGGACTGTAGTAGAGGCATTACTATGGAGAATGCCCTCATTAATGCTGATTGACAGCTGCCAGGCTAAGTTTAAATTTTAAACAAAGATGGTGAACTCTGATTTGTCACAGCATTACCTGCTGTATGTATACATTCTTTCTGTTTACAAAGAATGGAACCCTGTGTGTCAAGATATGTAATTTCCAGTGCAGTCCTAAATTGATTTTCAACATAATTTTTTCCAAATTCAGGATTATCCAACAAATGAATCATCAATAATTGGTGTATTTACCAATCAACACTACTTACCAATCAGCACTCTCCTCTCATGCATAGGAATAGGAGTTGGCCATTCAGCCCTCAAGCCTATTCTGCTATTTAAATGAGATCATGGCTGATCATTGGTCTAAAAAGAACATCTACGTCCCTTTGGCCCATATCCCTTAACACGTTTGCTTAACAAAAATATAGCTATCTCAGATTTAGAATTCATAACTGATCCAGCATCAACTGCTGTTTGTGGAAGAGAGATGTGCTTTATAACATCTGCTGAATGGTCTGGCCTTAATTCTCAGACTATGACCCCTATTTCTAGAATCTCCAACCAGTGGAAATAGTTTGTCTTAATGTACGTGGTCAATGTTGGTATTCCCCTTGAATTGGTATTCTTGTGATTCACCATGACAAGTGCAAGTGAAAAGCCTCAATAAAATGTATTATGGTTTTTTCAGCAATATGCAATTTCTTTTGTACCAAACAACTGAGCCTGCTTATGTAGGTGGAAGCATTTTATAACAATGTGCACTTTTATGCCGTCGAGACATCAATCGCCTCAACCTCTCCACCCCACTCACCCACTCCAACTTCTCCCCCACAGAACGTGCAGCCCTCTGCTCCCTTCTCTCCAATCCCAACCTCACCATAGAACCAGCGGACAAAGGAGGCGCAGTTGTAGTATGGCCCACTGACCTCTACATCGCCGAGGCCAGACACCAGCTCTCGGACACCTCCTCCTACCGCCCCCTTGATCATGACCCCACCCCCGATCACCAAAACATCATCTCCCAAGCCATCCACAACCTCATCACTTCAGGTGACCTCCCACCCACAGCCTCCGACCTCATTGTTCCCCAACTCCGCACCGCCCGTTTCTATCTCCTTCCCAAAATCCACAAACCTGACTGCCCTTGTCGACCCATTGTCTCCACCTGCTCCTGCCCCACCGACCTTATCTCCAACTATCTGGACTCCATTTTCTCCCCCTTGGCCCAGGAATTCCCCACCTATGTCCGTGACACCATCCACGCCCTCCACCTGCTCCAAAACTTCCGATTCCCTGGTCCCCAACACCTCATCTTAACCATGGACGTCCAGTCCCGATACACTTGCATTCCCGATGCAGATGGCCTAAAGGCCCTCCGCTTCTTCCTGTCCCACAAGCCCGACCAGTCCCCCTCCACTGAAACCCTCATCCGCTTAGCTGAACTCATCCTCACCCTTAACAACTTCTCCTTCAATTCCTCCCACTTCCTACAGACAAAGGGGGTGGCCATGGGAACCCGCATGGGCCCAAGCTATGCCTGCCTCCTTGTAGGATATGTGGAACAATCCCTCTTCTGAAGCTACGCTGGCCCGATCCCCCACCTCTTCCTCCGTTACATCGAAGACTGTATCGGCGCTGCCTCGTGCTCCTACGAGGAGCTCGAACAGTTCATCCACTTCACTAACATCTTCCACCCCAACCTTAAGTTCACCTGGACCATTTCTGATACCTCTATCTCCTTCCTGGACCTCTCTGTTTCCATCTCTGGCAACCACCTGGAAACCGATATCCATTTCAAGACTACCGACTCCCACAGCTACCTAGAATACACCTCCTCTCACCCACCTTCCTGCAAGAATGCCATCCCCTATTCCCAGTTCCTTTGCCTCCGCCGCATCTGCTCCTGAGATGAGGCATTCCACTCCCGGACATCCCAGATGTCCTCGTTTTTCAAGGACCGCAACTTCCCCTCCACAGTGGTCGAAAACGCCCACGACCATGTCTCTCGCATTTCCCGCAACTCATCCCTCACACCCGCTCCCCGCAATAACAGCCAAAACAGAATCTCCCTTGTCTTCACGTACCACCCCACCAACCTCCAGATCCAATGCATCATCCTCCAACACTTCCGCCATCTGCAATCTGACCCTGCTACCAAAGACATTTTTCCCTCCCCACCCTTATCTGCTCTCCGGAGGGACCACTGTCTCCGTTACTCCGTTGTCCACTCCACACTCCCCTCCAGCCCTACCACCCTCGGCACTTTTCCCTGCAACCGCAGGAAGTGCTAAACCTGCCCCTACACCTCCCCCCTCACCCCCATCCCAGGCCCCAAGAAGACCTTCCACATCAAACAGATGTTCACCTGCATATCTGCTAATGTGGTATACTGTATCTGCTGTTCCCAATGTGGCCTCCTCTACATCGGGGAAACCAAGCGGAGGCTTGGGGACCGCTTTGTGGAACACCTACGCTTGGTTCGCAACAAACGACTACATCTCCCAGTCGCGAGCCATTTCAACTCCCCCTCCCACTCCTTTGACGACATGTCCATCCTAGGCCTCCTGCAGTGCCACAATGATGCCACCCAAAGGTTGCAGGAACAGCACCTTATATTTCGCTTGGGAACCCTGCAGCCCAATGGTATCAATGTGGACTTCACAAGCTTCAAAATCTCCTCTCCCCCGACCGCATCCGAAAACCAGTCCAGCTCGTCCCCGCCTCCCTAACCTGTCCTTCCTCCCACCTATCCACTCCTCCCACCTCAAACCCCACCCCACCTCCTACCTACCAGCCTCATCTCACCTCCTTGACCTGTCCGTCCTCCCTGGACTGACCTATCCCCTCTGTAACTCCCCACTTACACTCACCTTTACTGGCTCCATTCCTGCCTCTTCGACCTGTCTGTCTCCTGTCCACCTATCTTCTCCTTTATCCATCTTCTATCTGCCTCCCCCTCTCTCCCTATTTATTTCAGAATCCCCTTCCCCTCCCCCATTTCTGAAGAAGGGTCTAGACCCGAAACGTCAGCTTTCCTGCTCCTCTGATGCTGCTTGGCCTGCTGTGTTCATCCAGCTCTCTACACCTTGTTATCTCAGATTCTCCAGCATCAGCAGTTCCTACTATCTCTGCACTTTTATGGTGTAAGGATGTTTTCATGTTTCACAAGTTAATCGTTAGGGTGTTTAAACTTTATATGCTGGTAAGAGTGCATCCATTTCCTGAAATGGTTTCTTCATATGATAATTCTGTTGTGCATAATCATCCTCTAGCTATCAGCTCTGGTTCAGTTGGTAGCATCCTTGGCACTGAGCCAGAAAGTTGTAGCTTCAACTTCTATTCCAGGACTCCATTGCCGAATTCAAGCTAACATTTAAATGCTATAACGCACTGTCAGAGGCTCTCAGTGGTTTTGTAGATCTCATGCAGAAGTTATGACGGTCACCAGTGGAATTTCAGAATTACCTCTGATCAGGGAGTGACATTTTTTGCCTCATAGATATACCATAGGATAACTGGTCCTCTCATTGCACTACTTCAAGAGCACTAATTTAGTTAAACATTGTTGATATCGTCACAAGTAGAACAAAGTTATCTCATTTGAGGTGAATCGACTTGCTAGCTTACTTTTAGCTAATTTGGCACTGAACTAACCTTTGTGTGTTTTGAGCCTATAGTCAATTGAATGAGACAATCAACAATAAAGAAAATGACATTTCCAGTATTCAGCATCAGTATGATTCCATCAGTTCTGAATTAGTAGAAATGACCCAATTAAGAGAAACGGCAGTTCGTGAAAATAACCATCTGCATGACCAGTTGTCAAAATTAAAATACGAACATCAGGTAAGAAAAGTAACCATTTTTGTTGAACCACTGCAAATGTTGTTCATTGTTACTTGTGTAAATTGGTGTGACTGGTGGAGATTATAAAGATATGGACATAAAAGACCATGAAGAGGTTTGAAAACAGGAATGAGAAGTTTCAAATCAAAGCATTGCTTGATTGAGAGCCAGTGAAAGTCCATAAGCTCGTAGATATGAGAGTGAAGCTTTGTGAAAGTAAGGGCACAGTAGCAGTGCTTTGGATGAGCTCAGGTTTATGGAAGATAGAATTTGGAAGACAAGGTAGAAGGACATTGGAATGGCGACATCTAAAGGTACCAAAGGCATGAATGAGCACTTCAATAGCTAATGAGCCTAGGAAAGAACAAGCGAAGTGATTTTAAGGAGGATTGAATTTAAGCAGTACCCTGCCTTCCATGGGGGAACAGTGAAGAATTAAGACCATAGATGTAGGAGCAGAAATTAGGCCATTCCGCTCATTGAGTCTGCTCCACCATTTGATCATGGCTGACATGTGTCTCAACCCCATTGCCCTGCCTTATCCCCATAACCTTGATCCCCTTACTAATGAAGAACCTATCTGTCTCTGTCTTAAATACACTCAATGATTTGGATTCCACAGCCTTCTGCAGCAATGTATTCTGCAGACTTGCCACCCTCTGGCTGAAGAAATTCCTCCACATCTCAGTCCGAAAGGGTCATCCCTTCACTTTGAGGCTTCACCCTTGGGTCCTAGTCTCTCCTACTGGTTGAAACATATTCTCTACATCAATTCTATCTGGGTCTCTCACTATTCTGAGTGTCAATGAGATCCTTGCTTATCCTTCTGAACTCCAAGTAAAGATCCAGAATGCTCAACCACCCCTCATATGACTAGCCCTTCATTCCTGGCATCATTCTTGTAAACCTTGTCTGGATCCCCTCCAATGCCAGCACATCATGACCATTGTAGTGTGGTTGAGCGACCAACTGTAACTAACATGGACAATGGAAACGAAATTGGATGTACAGTTGGTTGTGCTATAATGCAATAGTTGCGTTCCTGCGCACCATCACATCATAGAAAATCGCACTGTAGAAAGTAGCAGGGCATATGGGAAAAGTGGGGTTAGGGGCAGACCACCAAAAAATATCAGTCAAAATCGCTCAAAAATCACTCAAAAGCCTAACTCAAAGGATAGCACAGTTTGAATAAGTGTTTAATTCATATCTAATAATGAAATAAAAGTAAATTTAACACCTTACCTTGAAAAAATGTGAAGATGACTTAATGGGGGAGGAGGTTTTGAGGTTGCTTTGTTGTTAATGCAGGGGCTGAGAGTTGTCGTCATCGTCATCATCGCCTTCAAGTGCAATTGTGTTTGCAGGGTCAGGGCAAAAAATAATTAATCCAGAAATGGATGGTTGTGGTTCATTGTCTTCTGACTGTTTCTTGAGGGTTGGCTTAAAAAAGACATCCAGTTTTTGCTGCTTTGCCCTTTTTCTTCTTTCATGAAGAAGCTGTTCATAGGGTGCCAAATAAGATCTTATTCCATATACTGCTACCCTGCTGCATTCTACATTGTAATCGTTGTCATCTAACAGCTGTAACTGCTCCTCACTTTCCCTCAGGATAGAAGACAAAACAGAAGTGGAAAGCTCTTGTGGTACTGCATTGTGGACTTCATCTTCTTTATCTCCAGCTTCCACTTCCCCCTCAGCGACAAGTTGTTGTCACGTACAGTGGTACTCCAGTAGCTGTTCAACATCCTCACTCTCTACTTCTTCAAATCCAACTTGCTTTGCAAGATCAATACAATGTTCTTCGATTCTTCAGAGCTCCTCAGACAGATCAAAGCCTTTAAACTTTTGAAAAAATTCTGGGAGAAGCTTCTGCCAAAATGCATGCAAGCAGTCCTTACTAACACCACCTTCTGAAGAAAGATACTCTTCCTCTTGAGGGAGTGTAGCGACGGTTTACCAGGCTGATTCTGGGGATGGCAGGTCTGACATATGAGAAGAGATTGACTGGGTTGAGATTGTTTACTCTGGAGTTCGGACAGATGTAACAGGACTGGACAAGGTAGATGCAGGGAGGATGTTCCTGATGGTGGGTGTGTCCAGAACCAGGGGTCACAGTATGAGAATTCGAGGTAAATGATTTAGGATGGAGATGAGGAGACATTGCTTCATCCAAAGAGTGGTGAGCCTGTGTGATTCATTACCCCAGGAAGTAGTTGATGCCAAAACATTGAATGTATTCAAGAGGCGACTAGATACAGCACTTGGGGCGAATGGGATGAAAGGTTATGGGGAGAAAGCAGGATTAGTCTATTGAGTTGGACGATCAGCAATGATCATGAAGAATGGTGGAGCAGGCTCAAAGAGCCAAATGACCTCCTCCTGCTCCTATCATCTATGTTTCTATGCCTCTGCGATGATGTTAATTGCATTCTTGATGTTACAGCTCTTCCAAAATTGAAAAACACAGTCCTTATCCCCCTCAGTGGCTACAATCAGCCTCTTAAATGTACATCTTTAAAAGCTGCTATTGCATCCTGCTCCATGATTTGAAGGAGAGAGGTTGTGTTTTGGGGTAGAAATAGCACTTTGATGTTTTCAGAAAGCTCTCCAATGGCGGGAAGGTGGCTTGGCACATTATCCAGGATGAGGAGCACCAATGGAATTGCATTATAGCCAACACAAATTTGCGTTTTAGAAATAACATCCCCCTTTAAGGTTTTGGAGTAGATTTGTAGTTCGGGTTGTGGGTGTTAGATTGGTTGGCTCGCTGAGCTGGCTTGTTGTTCTGCAGACGTTTTGTTACCATGCTGAGTAGCATCCTCAGTGCAGCCTCCAATGAAGCGTCAGTGTGTTTTCCTGCCTGGTTTTTAAACTCTGGAGTCCATTGAGCTGGATTGCGTCACTTCCGGTTTTCCTTCGTTGTGGAGTGTATATGGGGTCGAGTTCTATGTATTTATTAATGGCTTTCTTCATGGAGTGCCAGACTTCAAGGAATTCCTGTGCCTGTCTCTGCTTAGCTTGTCCCAGGATTTTGGTGTTGTCCCAGTCGAAGTGGTGGTTCTCCTTATCCATGAGGATTGAGATGAGTGAGTACTGGTTGTGTCTTTTTGTAGCCAGTTGGTGTTCGTGTACCCTTGTTGTTAGTTTCCTTCCTGTTTGTCCGATGTAGTGTTTCCCACAGTCTCTGCAGGGGATCTTATAGATGACGTTGGTCCTGTCCATGGCAGGGAGTGGGTCATTAGTTTGGGTGAGCAGTTGTCGTAGGGTTGATGTCGGCTTGTGTGCCACTGTCATGCCCAGCGATCGTAGGAGTCTTGTGATTAGTTCTGATGTGTTCCTGACGTAGGGTAATGTGATGAGTGTGTCGGGGCGTGTGGTATCTTCCTGATGTTGTTCATGCAGGCATCTTCTGACCCAGTTTTTTGGATATCCGTTATCCTTAAAAACCTGGAAGAGGTATTCTTCTTCCTCTTGGCGTAGTTCTGTGTTGCTACAGTGTGTTGTTGCCCGTTTAAATAGTGTTCGCACGCAGCTTCATTTGTGTGTGTTGGGATGGTTATTGTTGAAGTTCAGTAGCTGATCCGTGTGTGTGGCTTTTCTGTGTACTTTCGTTTGGAGTTCCCCATTTGTCTTGTGCTGTACCATGACGTCCAGGAATGGGAGCTGTTTGTTCTTCTCCTCCTCTGTGGTGAATTTTATTCCGGTGAGGGAGTTGTTTATAAGTTTGTGTGTCTCCTCTAGTTTCGTCCGTTTAACATTCCCCTATTTGTCAGTCACATGATAGCCAATTCACGTTGCTGGAACATGCATCAGAGCAGAACTGACTGTAGTCACACCCAGAGTAGGTGAGGTCAGGGAAGGAGTGTAAGGGAGAGGGATTCAATTTCAAGCAATGCGAGGCCCTTCAAAGGATAACACCATTACACAGACACCTATACACTGAAGCTGAAACATACACATGAGGTATACATGCTTTATGAATCTTGGCTACTAACCTATGGCATGCAGTCCAAATCTTTGCTCCAGGCACTCCTGACTGTATCATGCAAGATAGTGAATGAATTCCACTAATGCCTGTGATGCAGTAGCTATGTTTGTATACCTAGAGAGAAAAAACTAAATTGCTGCTGTGGCAGTCACCTGCCATTTACCCATTTCCTTCTCATAGTGCAGGAGCTGCTCACTTCACACCTTGGACTATTGACCATTGTGTAGCACTAAGGATGGGCGGGCTCTGCACCTTCAACGTTGTAATTGCAGTTGGACAGAGACTCTCACACGCACAGCTAATGGTGCAAAGTGAGGCTGTTTTCATCCAGAAGGCCCAGACATGCGAATGTGTCCTGCCCAGAGGTTGGTGCACCCTCCTCAGCTTGAACTCCTATAGGGCTGAAGCCTGAAGGCAGGGTAGAGGAGGAATGCGCCGCTATTTCTAGAGTGTAACTCCAAACAGAAAACTTCTCGGTGCCTGTATGTGGTTCCTGCTCCAACTGGATGCCTATTGGTGCCTCCCTGTCTCCTTGAGAGGAGGGAGCACCGTGTTGTCTTCTGTGATGCTGAGCATCAGTAGCTAGAGTGATGTATGTGTCCAGCAGACTGAGACTCCTGAACCTGGCTGTCCATGGCAGGTTCCAAAATGTTTTTGGAGGCTGTCAGATGCTTGAGGCAGCAGGGTCCCAAACACATTCCAGCAACCAAGTGTTAGGTTGCCCAGTGCTCCTGATGAACCTACCAGCTGTTTCTGGGACTACTTGTGCCAAAACATAAAGTTCCTATTGCCAATGCCTTGTAGGTCCTCTACTGCCTTGGACTGTTAGTGACCTGGGCTTGTTTTATCTTGGCAAAGACATGGCAGTGTAGTGCTCACCTGTAAGGGCTGCCGACTCTAATCCAGAGAAAATATCCTCTGAGGTGTCAGTATCTGAGTCTTGCTTGTAGATGCTTGCTTTGAGGTATCAGTGCTCTGACCCTCGGGTGACACTCAGAGTGGACATGTCTTGTGGGGCAGCTCTGTTGACCGTATCCATCATGGTTGTGCCACTGGTGGCTGCAGGAGACTAAAATGAGAGCACATCACAAGCAAAGAACAAAATTTGTGGTATGGTATCAATAAATTCACTGGGGAAATGATGAGAGAGTCGCATACCAACAATGTTTCTTAAAATCATAAATTGCTGGAAAAACTCAGCAGGACTGGCAGTAACTATGGAGCAAAATCAGAGTTAACGTTTTGGCTCCAGTGACCCTTCTTCAGAATAGTTTTAGGGACATGGAAGGTTCTGTAGCTCCATTGGAGTGGTCTTGGTCTTTGCCTACCGGGGCCAGGTTCCTCTCATGATGGGTGAATATCCAGCACCCACTACCTGCCCTGGGTCTTTTGGCCTATTAAACTCATTTCCTCCTGTAATGAAAGTAGAATTTTGGTTAAATTCAAATTTATTTTGGGTACAAAATGGGAGATCAGGCTGAAAGCTTTTAAATAGTGAAGCCTAGAGGCAATCAGGACCAGAATGAGGATGTCATCAACAGATGAGTTGAGACAGGTCAAAGTCAGACAGCAGAAATGGCCAATATTTATCATGGAAGCTTATCTTAGAGTCAAATGTGACACCAACATTGCAAATAAACTGACTTAATTTCAAACTGTTACCAGGTTATTTGTATGGCAATTTTTTAAATTTTCTTTGATATATTGGGCTGTGACTTGTGACTGGGCAGCCCCTGTGCATCTGTCAAATTGGAGATTTAGGCATCTGCTTAGCTCTTGATAAACCACTTTGCCACCACCAGATCTCTAGGTCTAATAGATACAGGTGCTGTCATAGGTATTTTGGTTTTATTAACATTAGGTGGTGCTAAAACATTACTACAGTACTGTACTGTTCACTAGTTGTTTGAGTCTGATGGCAGCTCGATGATTTGGCAGCAATATTTAAACAATGCATATGTTTAAGTGTTAGAATTATTTAATTATAGATCATAATTATTTTTATTAATTTTTAATAATTTGTTATTTTTACTGGCCACCTTAGTATATTCTGACTGCCTGTCCAACCTGGGGCATACAGTACTACATTTATGTTGGTTGCTCCAAACCTTTTTTTTAAACTCTGCTTGGCATGTTAAATCTGCCCTGGCCACCCCGGCCAAAATCAAACCCAACCCTGATCTTTGAGATCATACTTTGCCACACCATGATGTATATATTCATTCCAAAATGCACTAGTCTATTGTTGACTAACCTCACAATGCATATTCCTATGGAGGCTGTTGGTTAGAGTGGTCCTTCCCACAGAATTAACCTGATCCTTATCACCTATGAATCACCATCACACCAACATTTAACATCCCTTTGCTTCTCAATTTTCTTTGACATTTTTCTCTACCATTCGAAAGGGGTGTTTGGTTCCCCTTGCACAATATACTTTTCACTGCTCCACATTGCTACAAAAATTGAGACACATTCCTTGCATTTGCTTCTCTCTCATTCCATCGTTTTGTCTTTTGTCTCCATCCCTGTCCTTTGTTGCAATTCCTGCTCCCCTTCCTACCGCCCTCTAGCCTGTTACTTCCATTGCTTTCTTCACCCATCAATCTTAGCCTTGCCCTCCAATCATTCAGAATTTGAACAGTAAATTTGATCTCGATTCCTTGGAGGTAATTTTCATTTTAAGTGACAGTAGAGATTGACCACTTATTATATATCCCACCCCATTTTGCTCTTCATTGATCTGAAAAATTGATTGTGGGCATGACCCACGCAGCTCCCTTTGTTGGGTCAGCATTATCAAGAGCTCACCGCTTTCTTTATAACTGTCTAGTCGGAAGCAGCTGGTTTTGACATTGCCTTTTGGAAGACTGTTGGAGGGCATGCTGCCGTGAAGTCCAGGCTAGGGGCCCAGGTTAGAGTCCCAATGCACCTAGTATATTGAGTGGGCAAAGCTTTGAAAATAGAGTTCATTGTAGGGAAATGTGAGATCATCCACTTTGATGCAAGCACAACAATTCAGGAAAGCTCCTTTATGGTGAGGGGAGACTATATAAAGGTAAATGGATTCAGAAATCAATGTGCATAAATCACAAAATCTTATGCAAAGCTTAACAGATTTTTTTTTACTGATGGTATAAATGTAAATTTGACAATTTACAGTTTTGGTATGTTTCAGTCTATGCATATCTTATTTGTTATAGTCAGTGAACCGTAAACTGGAAGAATCCATTCAGGAGAATAAAGACTTAAAGATCAAAGTCCAAGATTACATCACTGAGATATCCAAGGTGGAGAATTTGCTTAGCGGCAAGGTCAGTAACAAAATATAATTCTCACAGGTTTTTAGCAAGCATAGTTTTGAATCTTGACTGCTTTAGATGAATTGATCTTTTGGACTATAAGTATGAATACTATTCTTAGTATCCAATTTCAACCTTGCCCATCCAATGGGAACAAGAGTGGGTAAGACGCTCTATTCCTGATGTCCTTTCCCCACCACCATTTAAATTGTGCAGATTTTACAATTCGGCCATGTACTTGCAACAGGCAGATGGGCGTTTTGTGATTCTGTAATGCAATTGACATCCCAGCGCTACTTTAGCTAAAGCTAGTAGAAGGCTTCCCACAGTATCTGATCCACCATGGTGAATAGGGGACTTCTTTACTGCAGCTATATGTACACTGCGCATCTTTGCACTGTGGGAGGAAACCGGAGCACCTGGAGGATACCCACACAGACATGAAAATGTGTAAACTCCACACAGACAGTCGTGCAAGGCAGGAATCAATCCTGGCACCCTGGTGCTTTGGGCTAGCATTGCTAACCACTGAGCCACTGTGTGGCCTGTAATTTTAGAATAGTGCTTGACTTTCTCATTAATAACCTAAATACTTCAATAAACGTGAAAAAACTGCAATTTTCGTTATTACAGTGACTAAGCACTACTTTGGCTGCTAAATACTTTGGACTATCCTGAGGTCTTGAAAGGTGCTATACAAATGCAGTGAAACTTTTCAAAGGATTGATCAATCTAGTGAAAGAAATTCTGAGGGAAGTACCAAACACATTCAAAAGGTCCGTCAGTACTTTTCTCCCATATTTCATCATTATTCCAAAATTCCATTTTCTTGATAAAATGCATTTGGAAAGGAGAAATTTCAGAAACAAGGGGAGGTGATGGCCAAAAGCTATTATTACTAGACTGTTAATCTAGAGATCTAGTAATGTTCTGGGGACAGGGTTCAAATCCTGCCATTGCAGTTGGTAAAATTTGAATTTGATAAATATCTGGAATTAAGAGTCTAGTGGTGACCATGAAGCCATTGCCGATTGTCGGAAACACCCATCTGGTTCACTACTGTTCTTTAGGGAAGGAAACTGCTGTCCTCACCTGATATGGCCTACATGTGATCCAGACACAGAACTTAACTGGGTAATTAAGGAGGTTTAATAAATGCTGACCTGGCCAGTACTGCCCACATGCAGTGAATGAATAAACAAAATGACAAGAAAAAGCTTGATCAGATGTTCTGTTGACTTATGGAGTTGTGCAAACATTAACACGCAGTCTTGCAGATGATGTGGTTTGTGTTGATGCATATTTTGATAGTCTTGTAGACCTATATATTTGTATGGCATTATATATTTACAGAACTAAAATTGTGCCTTCTTAGGGGATTGTACACTGAGTGGACAAGACTTGCCAAGTCCAGAGCTTGTTGTTAGAAACGGGGTATGGGAATGTCACAATCCCAGTTAGCATTGTAGTGGCAGGCAGGTGTAGGAAGGAGGCCCACACTATAAGCTGCTTTCTTATTTCCAGATGCAGCCATGTAATAATTGCTTACATTAGATTTAAAATACACTGCCCCAAGGCAGATGGAATGGCTAAATATTGTCATAAAAAGTTTTCTTTGGGAATATAGCTATAAAAGATAGTTTGAGAGATTTTGTGGATTGATGATATCGTATACATTTATTAGGAAAATGAAAATTTTAATCTGATGGAGCAATGTCGTAGAACTAATGCGCAGACAGAGACCTGGGAATTGAAAGCTCGCCAAATAGAAGGAGAGTTCAATTCAGTTCAGATGGAGCTTGTTACTGTGAAAGCTGAGAACCGCAGGATGTGCGAAAAAGTTAACTCACTTGAAAAAGAAATTGAGGAGGTAAAAAGTGTGGCGAATTTATAATCCATTATTTACTGTAATACACAATACTATATGTGCAGCAAACTTTCTGTTGTTAACAGATGCTTTATTATATGGAGATAGAAATCTCAAGAAGGTGAAAATGACTTAAAAAAACTATTTTGGATGTTTCAAATGAATCTGAAATTAGCATCAATTATAGTTGACAGTTCATTAACAAGGCATTTGCAAGTTTATTTCCAAAACCAAAGTACAGGAATATAATTCAATTATTTTCTAATTTTGACTGTATTTTTCATGTAATTTTCCCAAGGAATTATACTTTCCTCAGATTTCTTCTGCATTTTAATTTTCCCACTTTTTTAACGTGCAAAAATGGATTTTCCCTGTAGCAAGAGGCTGCTAGGAATGCATATAAAGCCCAAGTTTGCTCACTTAATAAGTTGATAATGAAGCTGGAAGATGAACTTCGGCAAGTCCAAAATGAAAAGAGCACAGCCCTCACTGACCTCACATCCACTCAAGAGCTCTGCTTGAAGCTGGATTCTAACAAAGAGATGATGATGAGGCAGGTGGCCAGCAAAAACAAGGAGATGGAGCAAGTATGTAAAATGGAAAAATCATAATTGTTTAATACTTTATTAATACTTTAATTTTGTCAATGTGTCTCTCATGTAATAGCGACATTTGGGACTGACGTACAGAGTTCTTCAGGTTTTCTGCAAAACTTGGAGCAGATTATATGCTTTCACTTGTCGACTTATTACCTATGTAGCCTGTTGGAATGCAGTTAATTCAATTGCTGTATACTTGATACCTTTTTGGAAGTAAAACGCTTCAACACTTACAGGGAGATGGTGTGTATGAGGCCAAAAACAGCCAGCGAATCGGACAGGTTTGGATCACACAGGTCTGACTGTCATTAAAATAATGTGTCCCCATTTGCCACCAGGCAAATGGCCAATTGAACAGCCTGGCCAATGGATAGGATGGTTCACTAGCAGCACCAGACCACAGCTGAGGAGCACTGGGGATATTCTCAGCTATTTGGTAGGCGGTGAACTGTGATTAGGAGGGCTGACGTAAGGAGAGGCTTCCTCAACAGGCATCTGGTGAGAATTTCTGTTCCTTCTGAGCACTGGGCAACGCTGATAGAGGCAGTAATGGTGAGCCAACAGTGCTGTCCCTGTTTAACTGCCAGTTATCCCAAACCATGGGAAACCAGTACAACAGCAGTAAATTTCAAACGAGGCTTTCAATTTCAGTGTTTAAATTAATCATCTCCCTTCCTCTTGTTCCATAGCATGGTAGTTAGATACTGCAATATCCAAAAGACTGTAGTGAGTGTATCATTAGCTGTCATTTCCGCCACCTTCAGTCGGATGTCACCATCAGACATATATTCCTCTCCGCTCCCTTTGTTAGCCTTTCCATAGAGACTGTTCCCTCTCTGACACAATGTTCCACTCCTCCACTCACCACACCTCTCCACACCTCCATGGCCCATCCCCATGCAATCGCAGAAGATGTAATACCTGCCCACTTACTTCCTCCTTCCTCACCATCCAAGGTCCAAGACACATCTTCCAGGTGAAGCAGCGATTTACCTGCACTGCACTCAATCTAGTCTACTGTATTCGCTGCTCACAATGTGGTCTGCTCTCCATTGCGGAAACAAAACGCCGACTGGGTGACTGCTTTGCAGGACACCTACATTTTGTCTGCAAAAATGACCCTGAGCTTCCTGTTGGTTGCCACTTCAATACACCACTGTTGGTCATGATCTCTGTCTCAGGCTTGCTGCAGTGCTCCAGTGAAGCTCAGCGCAGGCTGGACGGACAGCATCTCACTTTCTGCTTGGAGACCCTGCAGTGTTCATGACTCATCAAGTTCAATAATTTTAGGGCCTGAGCACCTTCTCCCAACCCCTATATGCCAGGCTTTGTCATCACATGGGCTGCTACCGCAAATAACCCATTGTCACCCATTAATGGTCCCCGCATTATCAGCTATTCATTCTCCCAGGCTGACTTTTACCCATTCCTTTCTCTGCCCAATTATTTTCCTCTTCCTTTGAACTCCATCCCCATCTATTGTTTACTCCTCGCCCGTCCCAACACCCCATCACCAGCACATATACCAACTTTTTCTGACCTACAGTCAGTTCTGAAGAAATCAGAGATAGTAGGAACTGCAGATGCTGGAGAATCCGAGACAACAAGGTGCAGGGCTGGATGAACACAGCAGGCCAAGCAGCATCATAGGAGCAGAGAGGCTGACGTTTCGGGCCTAGACCCTTCATCAGAAAAGGGGGAGGGGAAGGGGGTTTTGAAATAAATAGGGAGAGAGTGGGAGGCGGATAGAAGAGGGATAGAGGAGAGGATAGGTGGAGAGGAAACAAACAGGTCGAAGAGGCGGGGATGGGGCCAGGAAAGGTGAGTGTAGGTAGGGAGTTAGGAAGGGGATAGGTCAGTCCAGGGAGGACGGACAGGTCAAGGGGGCGGGATGAGGTTGGTCGGTAGGAGATGGAGGTGCGGCTTGAGGTGGGAGGAGGGGATAGGTGGGAGGAAGAACAGGTTAGGGAGGCAGGGACGAGCTGGACTGGTTTTGGGATGCGGTAGGGGGAGGGGAGATTTTGAAACTTGTGAAATCCACATTGATACCATTGGGCTGCAGGGTTCCCAAGCGGAATATGAGTTGCTGTTCCTGCAACCTTCGGGTGGCATCGTTGTGGCACTGCAGGAGGCCCAGGATGGACATGTCGTCTGAGGAATGGGAGGGGGAGTTGAAATGGTTCGCGACCGGGAGGTGCAGTTGTTTGTTGCGAACCGAGCGTAAGTGTTCTGCAAAGCGGTCCCCGAGTCTCCGCTTGGTTTCCCCGATGTAGAGGAAGCCACACCGGGTACAGCGGATGCAGTATACCACATTGGCAGATGTGCAGGTGAACATCTGCTTGATGTGGAAAGTCTTCTTGGGGCCTGGGATGGGGGTGAGGGAGGAGGTATGGGGGCAGGTGTAGCACTTCCTGCGGTTGCAGGGAAAAGTGCCGGGTGTGGTGGAGCTGGAGGGGAGTGTGGAGCGGACAAGGGAGTCACGGAGAGAGTTGTCCCTCCGGAAAGCAGATAAAGGTGGGGAGGGAAAGATGTCTTTGGTGGTGGGGTCGGATTGCAGATGGCGGAAGTGTCGGAGGATGATGCGTTGGATCCGGAGGTTGGTGGGGTGGTACGTGAGGACGAGGGGGATTCTTTTTTGGTTCTTATTGCGTGGACGGGGTGTGAGGGATGAGGTGCGGGAGATGTGGGAGACACGGTTGAGGGCGTTCTC